ATCTTCAGAGATCGGGTTTTGTATAGGTATTTGCTATTTTAGGTGATTGTAAATAATATAGTAAAAATATATAGTATAAAATATAATAAAAAGAGTATAGTTAATTGCGCCCATAGTATCTATTAGTGACATCGAATTCATCAATATATATTTAAAAATGTCGCATTGCTATATAGTTATAAGGGTATAATAAATTATTATATTATTATTATTATTATTATTTATTGTATAGCCTATTATATAATTTGTCCAAACAATTTTTTTTTTTATTATTTATTTTATCCATCCATATTATTTGATTAAAAATCATTTTTCATTTCTCATTTCGACTATAGCAAAAATCAATTTCTAAAAAACAGCAACAGTCACATTTTTGTGGTGTTTTCTGAGTAACCCTAAATGGCTATCGTACGAAACATATTATTTAAAAATAGCCCCTGCAGGGCGCAATGTAGACATTTTTTCTTGAAATATATTGAGCGCCATTTACTACATAAAAATGTACCCCTAAAACGAATAGGGCGCAATTTACAATTTACGTTTTCCCGCTTTTTTTCTGAGACAAGTTAAAATTTCTCATTCCTCTTGGTTACGTGATTTAGTTAAAGAGTTCATGGAATATGTTTTTATTTGAAATTTTCTATAATTCAGTATTATTTTACAATATGCAAAATATGGGGATGCTATCATTTGCAAACTTATCATACAAAGCGATTGTCTAGCAATCAGGCAATGTTAAGGGAAAAATATAATGCATTTTTAATTTTAGAGTGTAAAAAAGACTATTAAAAAATTAGGTACATTTGAAATGTTTCTGTGATGGTGTTTTTCGTCCTTTCTTATTAATATTGATTATACAGTATCTTTTTCTTCCAAACAACGTTCATTTACCGATATTTATCTGGCTAATATTATTTTGTCTCGAGTAATCGGTATAAGTATCAAATTTATTTCAAAATGTATTGAGAGGAATAGAAATAATAGGTGATATACCAATAACGGACGTACCATTCGCCTCCATCGAACAGTCTAACGACCGTGTAATAGTCCTAGAGTGTATACGGGATTCTTTTCGTACGAACTTAGAACGCCATTTGTGTATAATATGTTTAAATAATCGAGTGGGATTTGATAAATAAATAAAAACGAAGTGCCCGTCTCGTGAATGGCCGATAAACCAGAAAAGTTCTACGCATGGTGGGCGCTTACTTTTTCAATTCAAAAACTTTACACCGTTACTCGCAAACTACGTCAGATTTGACATGGGTATGCACTCAGGTGAGATACAGAAAGTGGTGTGCACTTGCATTGAGACCAATAACGGTAATAACAATTTATATAACCACCCACATTTTACAATACATTACTGAAATGACGCATTTGAAGTCAAACGAATTGAAATCATTAATCGTTAACCTAGGGATATAACTTAGGAGGCCTCTCAATTTATTGTTTTTTTCCTGGTGGCTAAATTTTACCTATATAAGATTACTCGTTGAACGACTTAAGAGTAAGTTTTTTTGCCAATGCCTACTCTTACACTACTTTTTTAACGTTCCACGTTTGATATAGAACATTTAAAAAACATTAGTCTGCTGGAGTTTCTTTTTGCTGTGCACTATCGTACGTTAAATTATTATACCCCTCGTCCTGAATTCTTAGAGGGAAGGTGCACAATTAAAAAACGAAAAGAAACGTGAAATGCAGACCCTTATGTAAAAAATGTACATTATAATATTATTATGGTGCCGAGCAAAAAATAAAATCAATTAAAATGAAACTCGTTGTGCCTTAGAGCCACGTTATACAACTCTAACTGTCTGTTGACAATTAATATTCTTCGTCACTATTGTCGCTCCTCTATGTATTATTATTAATTGGACGAACGGTTTTGACTCGTGGAATGAATTTGAGAAAAAACGTATTCCCCATATTTGGATTGTAGATCGTATAGATAATATTATACAGTGATATCCGGTTATATATACAGAGTGATTCACCAAACATGTTGACCCCTATTTTTACTTTAACCGTTTTTTCAAATAATTATTGGAATTTTTAAATATAATAATTGAAGACCATATTATCAAGTTCTGAAGTGATTTTTTGTTCTACCTAGGAGACTTTTATGGAGATACAAACATCTATTTATCAAATGAAAATCTCTTTTTTACAACAACATATTAAGCGGCTTGCTAATTATTTTAAAATGTATTGTTGATGTAACTAATTGAAAATTCTGATGGGTAACCAGTTATTAAATATTTAAACTAAGGATTGTAGTCCTTCAAAATAGTTTTCAAAAAATATAAAATATGTGTAATATTGGATATAGTATTTGCAATAAATAATACTAATATTACTTACTAAAATTTTCAAATTGTCATAAAACTCATATATTTCAAACTTATTATCGTAAACATTTTATCCAACGAACACGAAGTAAAATAACTCAAAAACTAATCGACTGAACTTTAATTATATGATTCAGTAATATTTTCAGAAAAATTATCAGCTAAATAATTCAAAGTTAAAAAGACGGGTTTTCATTTGGAAAACAGAAGTTTGTATATCCACCAAACACTCCTTAAGTAGAAAAAAAAATCTCAATATTTTAAAATATGGCCTTTGGGTATATTTCAACATTTTGAAAATCACATTTTAAAAAACTTCATTATAAAGTGAACAACTTATCTGGGGTAGTGAGAATGAGAAAGCCGTATGTTTAGTGAATCACCCTGTATAATATAGTATCACACTCTTCAATTATGTAGTCTCCTCATAGATCGTTATGAGAAAGAAATATACTCATGCCGGTTGAATATTGTTTAACTATGGTAATGAGTTTTAACGTAGGGACAAAACGTACTAGATTTAAAAAAAAATGATAAAAAATAATAACGTAGCAATGGCGTTTCGATCACAGTGAAAAGTATGACCAAACTTAAACATAATATTACGCAATAATATTTTATTATGTAGTGTCGAAGTCTAATGGAGCGGTAATAAAATTAGTTCTCGTTACAACGATAACACCGATTACTAACGACACCTAGAATAATAAAAAAGTACGGTATTTGATAGAACGACAATATTATAATGTTGGTCTTATTCGTTGAGACACCCTTTTGTTGCAATGTTTTTGTTGTTGTTTGTGCACGGCATTGCGACAGTGATAAATGAAGATGGTAAATAATTATCGAAAACTACAATCGTAATAAATACTGTATAATAACACTACCTCTTACATTATATTTTTCCTCGAAGCAAACTTAAATAGGTAATCATTATAACGTTGTTAAGTAATATTATTGTTATTTATTATCTTATACCTATAAGTATTGTAAACACGTATAACTAATATTAAAATAATTGTTTCGCTTACAACCCGCACTAACGCATCTAAAGTCGATTTTGATACCAGCTGTGCAGTCGTTGTAAATATAATGTCATTCATTCATTTTCATCGTTTCGTACTATTAATGAGTATCCGCCAAGGATAATAATGAAATGCTCTTCACAAGTCGGGTGCACACGATTCGTAATATATAATATTATTTATTATTTTCGATAGACGTTATCTGAGAGGTCCACTAGGTACACAGCGAATTCAGAGATAACGTTTCACGATGATAAATATTATATTTTATCTCCGCCGTGTGTTTAGGTCTAGATGTGGAGAACGTGTTTCGTCCATATCGAGAGCCTACTCCCCCCTACCCAAGGCCAAATAACAAACATTTCATAATAATATATTATACGCCGGAACCAGTACATGCTGATTTGTTATCATCCCAGATATTCGTGTTTGAAAGTCATTGATAGATAGGAATATTATTGTTATGTCGACATGTCGTATAGTCTTTGTAGTGAAACCAAACAATTTAAGCGATTCATTTTATCATCATCGACCGAACTCTCGTGGACGCGTACTCCCCAAACAGAATCATTATCAACATCCGATCAGACGATAACATACTACACAGCTACACCTTTTGTGTGATGACATTGATATAACTACTATTTAACATTATGCTATAATAATATTGGGATATCGAAATTTGACATCATGTAAGAAAATATAGAGTTTTTAGTGTAATCTGCAAATTGACATATTCACAAATTTTTACATTTTTTCATACATTTTTATAATATATATTATTATTACTTTATTCTCTCTCTGATAGTTGTAACTGGAAAACAATCATCAGAGAAAAAAACAAAATAATATTATGTTAAATGGTTTTTACCGCAGTTATTGTTTGACACGAATTAAATTCAAATAATTTGAACAAATGTATTCGATGACTATATAATATTATATTATAGCGTGCTACTTGGTCGTTAACGAAACGAGTAGACCGTGAAAACTTTGGGTAAGCATTGACAACTGTGACCGGAATCGTTTCCGGTACCTATTACTATTGGATGTGGCACTATTTTGGATTTTAAACTACACGCTTGTACAATAATTTATAATACTTAGTATAATATTGAACATCGGAATTGGTAGTTATTGTGATTTTCTCAGGCATTTTCTCATCGCAGGATGTGGTTATTGCGATTAGGTATCCCTTTTTTTAACGAACTCAATTGGTGATCCAATAATAATTATTTTATTTTATATAAATATAGGATGTTGTTTTTATGCTTCAAAACCATTCCCTCCCCTTTTATACCCTAAAATTATATTACAAATTCATTAAATTGTATAGTTTATGTATATATAATAATAAATATACTTACTAAAATAGAAATAATGATAATAATATGTTATTGAAATACAATACATTCTAAACCACTGCAATAACGATGGTATAGGGAAATGAATAACAACTTAATAAATCTACAATGAAGAGAACCTGTGAATAATGTAAGTGACACGATGTGTAATTAAATTGACACACCACCTCCGGCCCGTAATCTTCGGGAGACTTACAACGAGACGTTTCCTCAGATCGGAAATGTAATATTATTATGTAGGTGCCTATACAATACCGTTCTGCTAGAGATCGTCACAATACACACCGTCACACATTGGCATAAAAGCTTGTACCTATCCTATTATTGTTATTATAAAAATAAATGGAAATATATTATAACTACAATAATATTATAGTTACAATATGTAATGCAGTGTAGATTTATAGATTTTAATCAATTATATCCATCTATATATTGGATTTTAAATTGGAATACAAGTTTCATGCAATTGAAACTTAAAAAGCACATTTAAAAAAATATTATCTCTAGACTTTGAGTATAGGTGTATGTATACTATATACATATTATATATACACCAACATTCCAAAATTCAGAATTTTAATAAATCCAAAATTTAAGCATAAGACTAGGGTGGGTAAAAATCACATTTTATACTGAATTTGCAAGGGGGCCTGTGACACATTGAGGTGGTGGAAGGGGTCGATCGTCGTGAGCGACTTATTGGTGTATGGGGGTACATTTGTATCGTTTTTATCATTTATGCAATAAAATCTGGAATTTTGTAAGACCAAAAATGTCATTATTATGATGCAAAAATCATGTAGATAGGTAGATAATGTAATTCAACTAATGTCTATCACCGCGGTGTGAACATGTCCGTTGATAACAAAACGTTCAACTTATTTTTCTTTGTGTTAAATTTATATTTCCAAATTTAATCATGTAACAGATATTTAGAATGTTACATCGACTATCTGCGAGTATTTTATAATGGTTTTTTTGGGGAGAGTGGGGGAGAGCATACGTATTTTAACATAATAATAATTTATATCATTAAAGGTACAACATGACGTAATAATAATTTGATATATACACTTACACATAGAATATTATAATTTATATTAAATCGATGTATATAGCTACTATTTAACTCATGTACAACGTCCACATATGTAGTAGACTTATATTTAAAAACGAAACCCGTATATTATTTATGATAATAATACACATTAGGTACGGGAGGTCGAGTCTCAATAACTCGAATTTCGAGGGGGGGTGAAAAATATAATTTCGAGTTATATTGTACCGCATCGTGAGTTTTTCTAGGGCACAGAAATATATTAGCGTTTTCAAGACTCGACCTGCATCGCAATACTAATATTATGTATGTTTTCTGGACGGTCGGGGTTGCGTGTGCACTACATTACAACAACAACAACAACAACAACAACAACAAAAATAATAGTAAGTTATGTATATTTGCAAACCGCAACAACTGCAGCAGCTGCTGCATGAACACTGAGCCGTGCCGCATTAATTAAACGTTGCTGATCCTGAGCATGCTGGACGACGGGCGCCGTTCGGCCGTCACCTGAGCGATTACGTTGTTGAACGACGGCCGTCGGTCCTTTAGCGTTATGGACGTCGGGCACAGGTGGTCCATGCCGCATGACGTCCGCCGGCCACCGGCGCCGCCGCCGCTGAACCCGGAACCGCCGCCCAGTGACGTGGACGGCGTCATGAGGAAATCGCGTTTGGCAGACGCCCACGACGACGACGGTTGGCCAAACGGTACGTCGCAGAGGCACGGAGCCGGCGGCGTATTGGTGGACGACGACGACGAGAAGAACCGTTTGTCAGACGCTGGCGACGGGAACAGGCTGCACGACCTGCGTTCCTTGACCGCGGTCACGGACAGCGAACCGTAACCGTGACCACCACCGGCGCCGCAACCGTAACCACCAAACGACGACGTGGTCGTGGGAGCGGCACACGACACTCGGCGCTCGGCCACCGCGGCCACCGCGGCTGCGCCCACCGTCATCGGCAACATGGACCGGCTGGTCCGGGCTGGACCACATTCGTGCTGCACTAGCGACTTGATGTCGGCCGCCGACTTGGCCTTGCGTGGACGGCCGGCCATCAGCGTGCAATGGCCGGTTAGTTGCGACGGGCCACACGCCCCCGGCAGCGCGCCGCCGCCCGCGAACATGGAGTTCTGCCTAGGCCGGATTTGCAAGGCACGGTGCGTCGGCTGTATCGTCTGGAAAATGGCCGACGGTTCAAGACAGCTGTTTACGTTGAACTTTGAGAATGACGTTCGGTGCTGAAAACGAACAAATTTCCATAAATTATTTTATTTTCACATCAAGTTGTAACCTATAATACAGTCTTGTAAAGTATCTGAGTAAAATCATTCAAATACGTTTTAAGTACTAAAATACTCATTTAAAATACTTTTTAAAATGAGTTTTTGTATCTGTACTTGAATAATTTCTCAAAGTAATTGTATTTAAAATAAAATACTAATATTTTTTAAATTACCAATATTTTTTTATTTTCAAAAACTTATTTATTGTAGTTTTTATAGTTTCTTTGTTAGTCTTAATATTAATTGAGAAAAACAATACAATTGAGAAAACGTTATTTTTCATAAATAAAAATAAATAAACTCAGGGGTGGACCTGGTCGACAGGTTACTATTGGTCGGTGGAGCACCGCTCGAAAATTGTACATTGTTATTGTCTTTATAGTATTATAAGATGGCTTGAAATCGAAATACAATTTTTCGATTTTGATCCCAATTTTACTTATTGATATATGTACTAGTTTTCTACCTACAAGATATGTGCAGGACTGTAGTTCGCGGGTTCTATACACGTCGTAACATTAGGCTGTGAAACGGGCATAAGAAAATGAAATATAAGTAGGTAGTTATTAATATTATGAGTATGTTCTACAGATGAACAAAATTATAAACTTGCTGGGCCATCAAACAATTTTAAATTAATTTTTGTTTTCAATTTAAAATAAGTTTGTGTACAAAAGTTATAAAGGTTTTTTATTTTGATATAATAAGTCATTGATATAAATTTTTATTCAATTTCAATATGAATTCGAGTATTGTTAAAAATAATGTTGATTTCGATATTAATTATTATTTTGATTTTTATCGATATTTATTTTGATTTTGTAGTCAAGCCATGGTTTGCAGTGCAATAGAAATATGAACTATATCAAAACAGGAATGATGTATATTATATCAATCGCATATTTTATTTTTAAATATTTTAAATTACAGAATACAGATATTAAACTACTAGATGCAAAGGGTACACCTTTGGGCCACGATGGCAAAGCCGCCAAGAGGGTTGTTACTGACCAAACAGGGAGTGAGCCCCTTAGCTTATATATAAACATATATTATATAAATGCTTTGAATTTTCATATCATAATGCGTGAGTGCGGAAAATTGTTGAATAATTTATGCACAAGCTACTCAATCGATCGATACGTAAAACCATCAGACGACATTTGGACGATAAGCCTTCTAAGGCCGTCGTAACTTTAAAACCGTTAATATTATATGGTTTTAGATGAAATTGCTGGTTTATTATAGGAATGGTGCGCTTATAGTATCGATAATAATTGCGGTATTTAAAATATACCGAGAAAACCATCACCGTGAATCCGTAGTCTGAAATGGTTAAGGTAATACCATCACACGACTTATTATTATTTATTATACGATTACCGCCGTTAATAAAACATGAAACACATTATCATTTATCGTTATGATTTAAGTTAACATACTCGTAGGAGTATAATATTATTTGCCAAAAAGCCCCATAATTCCCGTAAGTACTGAAAATATTATTGGGACTATTCTACCGTGGTTATACCAATCAATAAACCTAGCCAATCGGTTACATTTTATACGTACGAATAATATACGAACAACAACCCCAGTTGCTTTTATTTAATAATATTACGTAATTGTAAAATAATATGTCAGAAAACACTCAACCAGCGTATAATTGTGCGTATGTTTGCAGGTATATCGTTTTTATTTATTGCGCCCCGTCCGATTTATTCTCATAAAGTTTTTCCAGTTGGTTAACCCTCTCCCCTAGTTATTTGAACTGTGTTCTTTGAAAGTTTCCAACGGACTTTTCTACCGTCGAGGGATGTAGTTCTCCCGACTATAGCTGTCTCCACTTATAAAGTTATGGTCGATGATCTTCCGATAAGAGAGAAAACGATGAAACTAGATATTTTATGTTTTTATTTCATTTGATTTTGTGCTTTGTCTAGTTTATTTTCACAAAACACACAGCTACATAATACACATGTATACTCGTCTGATAATGTCATCGTGCTTAAATACCTAATAATTATAGTAGTCCTGGCCTAACCTCGGGGACTAGCGTTTGTGAACTGCGGCGTAAATTAGTAAGATAATAATTGAACAGTCCATACTATTCAAATAAAAAGTATTAATATATTGTTAATTGACAAAATAATTTTAAAAAAAAAAACTAATTATATAATCAATGAATAAACACAAATCTTTACTGTATAGTATATTTCGATGAGCAGTGTAGTGTGTACCTATGTAATTTACATACTTTATCACCAAATTATATTTAGGTGTAGGACTTATTAATAACTTAATAAGATTGAAACGACTATACAACAATATTGCAACAAAGATTACTGTGTAATCTGCTATTTCGGCTGTATTAGGATATTTTATATTATTATACGAAATTATTAAAACAAATTAAGCCTAATAATTAAACACTTTTTTTTAGTTATATTATATATGTATGTACTTAAAGATGTGTGCATGTATGGCGTACGTATAAGGTAACTATTAAATTAAGGCAAATCAATATTTTTTGAATATTTTATGCAAACAAGTCGAGTAAATACAATATCAGAAAATACAAGAGAGTTGTGTTTACCTAATTAAAATCTGAAAATCCACTACTACTAAACCTTAATATAATTTAAATAATATGTTATAACTTATATCAATCAACGCCGTAATTATGAAAACAAATAATTACTGTTTATCTTACAAAAAAGTATTTCAGAACTTAAAATACAAAATAATAATGAAATTTATACACGAGTCATTATAAAAATTACAAATAATTTCAGATAATCATGATAATATGTATATTGATCATATTATTATATTGGGGCGGTAATAAAACAATAAAACCCATTTTCATACTTAATACTCAAAAAATGTAAAAAGCATTATTTTTATTTTGTTAGACGCTTTAAAGTTGTATAACGTTATGAATATATCTGTAATATACTGTAATATAAAAATAAGAAATAGTTATTTTTTAATAGTTAATAACTTTGGTTCATCAAAACAACTATACCTATCAATAGATATTCTTAAGTAATGTGTATGTCTGTATTGTAGTCCAGTACACTCTGTGTGGGTATTATTTTTTCGGAGAAATAAATACTAATCAAAGTACTTATTAAATAAAATACATGAGAATATGAGATGCTGTCGTTTTTTTATTGTATAATTTGTATAAATACTATAATAATTATTACTATCATTAATCAGATATTGTATTATATAATATAATTATATTATTATACACCTATGACTTATCTCAGTGTAAGTGGCTTGGTGAACATTTTTCAGACTGCCTAGTCTAATATTACACTGACCAATCCACCCAAAACTCAATAATGGTATTTACTGTCATATTTTTAACTACCTGTCGTAGTGAATACTAAAACACTAGTTAATACTAAATTATTACCTACTGACCATTAGATTCCCACCCACCCATCTACTACCCCTTAAAAAGTTCAGAGGCGGCCGCCTCTCGATTACACCTTTCACCACGCCACTAGCTGTCTCAATATTAATTTTTTATTCACTATATTTTTACTTTAGAGTAGATTTTAAAACAAGAGTTTAATGTTCTGTGATACTCGAGTGTCTAAAAATAACATTTTGTAAGCTAATAATAAATTAATAACTTAAATAAAAGTTCAATATTAATTATTAAATATAACATAACCCGTTACTTACAAATTACATGCTACGTTAATTTGGAGTTAACGAAAAACTATTTCGTTCTTATAAATACACGACTTAACTTTTTGAATAAGGAGAAAACAATTCTGATAAGTCCGTTTAAATATTAATGCAACCATTGTCGGCGTATGAATTCTCATTATTTGTTTACAGTTGGGATAAAAGCTTTCTGAAATATTAAACACCAGTTATTAAAACAAGCCAACTCATAACTGCATAATAAGTTTTTTTAAAAGGCTACGTCATAGACATTTTATTAAACTAATTTACTATTACCTATATTATTATTTATTTTATTTCTCTGTGGAATTACTTATAACCAATTATTCGTTAAATAGTTTTTTTTTTTTAATTTTAAATTTTTACTATAGCTTATGCATAGCTATAGGAACCGGCTGTTAAAATATTTAAGAATACTAATTAATAAATTAAATGTTAAATATTACATCGTATGATATAAATTTTACTCGGTGCGTAATATTTTGATTTATTGAAATACGTTTTTGTTTAGTTAATTGTAAGAATTATAAATACACGACTGTTACTTATTCACGGCATGCATTGTAATTCTGCTATGATTTTTTGATTGTTATAAAATCCAATATAACTGGTCAACTTGTGTGATATCATAAACTTATCCGGAATTCGCTTGGACACATTATTTTTGATCTCGGATAAGCCTGAACATAATAATAATATATTCTTCAGTGAACCTAATACTATCATTAATTCCACAATTTTGAATGAATCTGAATGCGATTTAGACGAGTATTTAGTTTGCCGATTTATATTATGTGTTCTCTGCAACAAATTTTATATTTTTCATTACAAAGTGCAATATTTGTTTACTTTCCGATATTGCAACTATTAGTATTAACATTATTGAATTAATCTAAATGTAGAAATATAATAATATGTCAAGTAACACGAGTTGATGACAGCCGCTAGATCTTCACAATCTAAAATGAAATATTATTTTAACCAAAGATCGTTGACATAAATGCAGGTTGATTATTACGATATTATACTACATAGTGCACCCAACTTAACCTATTCAAGCATTTTTCTTTCAGAATTTTGATTTTAATCACAATTATTTTTGAAAGAATGGACTATAAATTAGACTAAGCTAATTAATATAGATTAGTGTGAAAACGCTGACACCATAAATCTATCTCCCAGCTATATAATAGCGTACCTTTATGCCGAGACCTAGGACCACAAATTGTAACAGGATCGTGTTGATG